ATGGTTCTAATGCTTGAAATGGATGAGTACTTTTCCTTCTTCATAGTCAATGTCTTCTATGTGAGCTGGATACCAGTTTTTTTAATGGTCCCGGGCTTCCAACGGGGCTCCCACTTCAAAGCTAATTCCTCTTTTGTTAGGTTGATGCTTTGTCTTTTTCAGTCATCAGTGGGGCTGCTTTTATTCTCCTCACAGCCCAGCTCCTGCTGCGCTGCTCCAGGACCAACCAACAAAAGCTGTTTTTAATTTTCTGAGGAAGGTTGTCACTATGCAGTTCAGGATGGCCTTGATTTCACTCTGTAAGGCAGGCTGGCCTAAAACTTGCTATTCTGTCTCAACCTCCCGGTGCTGTGCCTAGGAATAAATATTTTCCTATCTTCCCAGTATTCCATTATCTTCCATAACACTATGAACCAACTCATCGTCTCTACCAAAGCCACAGCTGAGTTACAAAAGTCAGCTTTTGTTCTCTTCCCTCTGCCTATAAAGTCACATGCCCCAGGTTCTTATATCACAAACCATCCAGTCTCAAGACCCACTCAACTGCTTGGCTCCCATTTCTGACACTGTTAACCCTTTTCCTAGTGATGACTTCCCTTCCTGCAGTGAGTATAACTCAGTTTGCTTCATCCTCAGATGTTCAGCTATTTTTAGTTTGCTGTGCTCAGTGAGAGCTGCATTACCTACAGTTGCAGGGCAGGTGCTCTTCATTCCTTGGCAATAGTGGTTACTAGGGATGTTCATATGATCTGGCCTGGTCCAATTAGTCTAATAAAGGTTGGGTACTTGGGATGAGATAGCCCAATTATGGAACCAACTCAAGGTGAAGCAGGCAAGAGGTAAGATTCTTCCTTCCATAGCTTCATGTGGAAAACAATGCTACTGACTGTCCTGCTACATCTTAATTCAGACCACTCGGAGCAGCTCTTGTAGAGAGGCAACATGGAAGTCTTGGAATTGTTGGTCACTGCTTAATGTCTTCACTATGATAGTTTAAGAAAGTCAAAGCCCCTACCAATTGAATTTGAAACTGTCTCATTGCTATTGTTTATCAACAAAATTATGGGGGAAAAAAA